TATAAGTAATATATTTAAATGTATTCTATGCATGTATATTTAGGTTTATTTTTAAATAAATATTTATGTAGTTACTTTTACTGGTGTATGTTTAAAGTAAATCACTTTTTTTTTTATTATTATAGCCGCATTCGTGGATTTCTTTATGCCTAAAGGTTGACTGGCAGAGAATGATTTTAGCGTTAAGTCCGCCTTTTGTCCATTTTTGTAATTGTGGCAATAAAGTTTAAATAAATAAATAAATAAAAATAAATCGATAAGGGCCAGTAAAATTATAGCCCTACTTGAAGAAGGTTGTTCTCAAACTTACGTGTTTCAGCGCCTAAATGTGAGTCATTCAACTATCCTGAGGACTTGGCAACGGCATCAAGAGACCGATTCGGTCAAAAGAAGACCCGGTTCGGGAAGAAAACGATGCACAAAAACAAGGGATGAACGCTTTTTAGTACGTCAGGCGTTGCTAAATTGTAAGGCGTCAAGTGTAGACCTGAAGAAGAGCATTGAAGAAGTAAGAAGAGAAGAAGTTAGCTTGTGGACCGTCAGGAGGAGGCTTTTGGCTACCCATATCAGGAATGACCACCCAGCCCGGGACCCTAAATTACTCCGGGAGCGCCGTGTTGCCTGACTTCAGTTTGCTCGAAACTGTGCTTCACGGTCTCTGGAGGACTGGGATAAATATATTGTTTTTATGATAAAGCTCGAATCTCTTTTTGTGGAGAGAACCGACACCAGCGAGTGCTGCGAAGACAACGGGAACGCTGTGCGAAAGCGTTTCGAAGAAATATACTCCTTATGGCGGAGGCTCTGTTATGTTTTGGGCAGCAATTAATTCGACGGAGTGTATGGAGTTACTTTTCATAGAAGATGGAACATTATATGCACACTGGTAAATAAAGGAAGTCCTGGTTCCATTTGCACAGCCCGCATAGACTGCACTTGAGGAAATTTTCACTTTTATGGACGACAAATCTCGTCTGTACCGTTCCGGCGACGTGGAAGCGCACATGCAAGAAGTTGGTATCCGTCGTTTTGATTGGCCAGCGCAAACCTGACCTCAATTTAATTGAGTATGTCTGGGATGTTCTAAAGAGACTAGTAATGCAACCAGCTTCACAAAAAATCAGGGAGATAAAAAGAGTCATTGCAGAACAGTGGGAACGCATTCCTCAAAATGTTATTAAAAACATTGTGAAAAGCACGCCCAGAAGGATTTTAGCTGTGTCATAAGTTTTGGAAAGAGGTCACACTCTTTATAAGTTGTTTACATTTTTTACTTTATTTAATTAAAAAAGTAAAAAAAACTTCTTGTCTTTATTGCCGACCACTTTTAATTGTTTGACCGTGTACCGTGTGGTGTTTTAAAGAATTCATCGAAAATTTATAAAAACAATTGCCAGAATTCACTTCACGCGTATTCATTTAGACGATAATAAGTATACAGACTAAGTTAAATAATTAAATTTCATTGAATTAAATTAAATCGACCTTACAACGTAAATTTCCTAAGGTGCCCATTTTTTTTGCAAAAGAGTGTATTAAATTTTTATGTTAATATTATGAAGTAAAGAAGTTATGTTTTGCTTAAAAGGTAGTATATTGAACTTGAAACTCCCAACCGCAGAATAAAATTGTCAAGCAGTATAGGATTATCTCAAGCAAATCGGGGGCTATAAAGTATCATTTTAAAATAATTTCTTTGAAAATAACATATTAAATAAAATTTAACGGGCCAGAGGGTATTATTTTAAATAAAACTTCAAACTTGTATTAATCCAAACGGGCAATAGGGTAACTTAACATAATACTGTTTAGAATACTAACAATTTTATATTTTGCTTAGACTAGACTGGACGGGTCATAACTAACATGACTGTCTCGAAAATGACGTTCATGAACAGTCAAGAAAGACATATGTTGCTATAATTCAAAAACTATTTAGAATTAAAATACAATTATCTTAATCTAAAAAAATTGTTTTTGTAACGCAAATAAAAAATCAAACGATTTTTCCTACTTAATACCCTATTGTTTGTAACGTGCGATAGTATGTTTATGGGTCTTGCATTACAAAACAAATTAGATAATCGCGTATAACAATTATCATTATCATCAGCCTATTAATGTCCCCACTGCTGGGGCACAGGCCTTCCCTATGAATGGAATAGGGAGATGCCCAGTTTGGATTGGTTGTTGCGACGACGAACGACTGCAGATGGAGTCGGGTTGGCCTTAACGCCTTGCCTTCCCAAACGAAGCACTGAGAAGCTCGAAATTTTTGGTTTAAATTTTTGGTCACCCATCCAATAACCGATCATTGCGAAAGTTGCTTAACTTCAACGATCGCAGACGAACGCGTTATGCACTATCGCCATCGAGCTCCTCTGTATAACATTATGTATTTACCTATAATTCATTTCTGTAACAAAACGGAATGCTTAAATATCTCATTCCAAAATGGCTTTATAAAAAGTATTTTAATGTTACGGTGTATAACTATTTTCTGACCTAAAACGGTTGTAATTGTAAACTCTTTGACCTAGCTAGGTCTTAGAGTTTGTATCTACTAGACATAGGCAGTCTTGCATCTCGGATTTAGGTCATTCCTTCGATCTTAACGTCGTTAGTATTACACAACAACAAAACTCACTTACCTATACCTAACTTTATAATAAATAATAAAGAAAGAAATCGAAAATGATAAGTACAGAAGAAAATAAAATGTGATGAAAATCAGTTTGGAATTATAAAATTTTCACTTTTCATATTTTTTTCTTAATTAAATAGGTAATATAGATATTTTTTTTTTAAATTGCTGGCTAAGGTCAAAGTTTACGAAGGTTCAGTTTTAAAAATAGGTTCTAATGTAGCGTTTAAAATAAGGTTTGGTAAAAATCGTTAACTTACGTCTAGCATCTCATTTGTGGTCCAGACACTTTTCTTGAGAGTCTTCTATTAAACTGCACATGTATTGGTGTGAGAAATGCACCTTCCTTATAATGACACTTATTATTTAATGTGGTGTTTTATTGGTAATTTTATAGAGCCTGTACTCTCGCCTTGTGGATCACACCCCAATCGTCGGGGATGTTGTGTTGAGGAACAAAGTATGCAGTGGAGTAGCTTGAGATGCGAAAATTATTGAATAAACGCAACTGTTCTTAAAATCAGAAGTTATTTAACTTGTTTGATTATATTTATCACACATATTATTGATGTAATTACTAATTTTATATTATGATTTTAAATGTATGTCTAGAGATAAATAACTAATGAACTAATTTTGTCCACCATTACTTGGCGCCCAACGTGGTGCTAGTTTTTTTTATATGTTTTCAATCGATTATTTCAGTAAAGAAGAATGTTTGTTGACATTATATTTTTTCCATTAGTTATAATATTAGAGATTTTATACAAAAATATAGTTTTATTGAATGTTTTCTTTGCTATAAGGCAGCTTTTTGTTAGATATAAAAAAGATTTGATTTAAATTCATTCAGCAAACATAAAACGTCTAAAACATTAAATACATTCAAGAGTTTATAAAGAGAAAATATACAATCTTCTCTTTGGACGTCTCTGTGCCGCAACAGCATCCGTCTTTCTCGTGTGCATTGTGCGCGTGCGTGCTCCCGCCCTTAGGACCGCCATCTTGACACCGTGTCGGACACAGGAGCTGTCAGAGTTGTGCTTTTTTAATCGCGAAGCTGTAGAAGTATGATTTATGCAGCTTTACTGTGGGTTATTAAAATATTGTTAATGAAAATGATTGAATAAATGTGTCAGCCAGCTGTTTATATTCAAATTATTATTTTAAAGTAAGTTTCGACCATGAAGTGATTATTTTTAAATAAAAAAGACCATTCCAAAATAAATTGCAATAAATAAATAAAAACTAATCGTATGTAGCCAGGAAAGCTGAATAATTAATATATTAGTATACTTTAGTGAGTTTTAGTAAGTATCTGCATAAAAATGCTCGAAAAAAGCGAACGTGAGTGTTGTGGAACCCTCGGTTGGACTTAGAAAGAAGTTAAAAACCGTCAGGTTGCGACATCTTACTTTATTTTCTTAGTCTTTTTTTTTATCCGCCAAGTCTGTACCGTGTGAAAAGGAACTTCGTTCCAAAACTCTTGGGCGGCAAAACAGTAATGCTTTATGTTTTGCAATGGCGGTGCGGTGTTGATGGCTTTTACGCCATTAGGCGCAAAAGAGTTGCCTCAATGGCGCGGCAGACGCGGGACAGCAGCAAAAGTCTTCTGGTCGTGGTCGCGAGCCGGGCGGATGGTCCGTTTTTGAGGCATTGGCAGTCGTTACACGCACCAGTGCCTCATAGTGTGTTTATAGTTATGAAACAAGAATTATGTTATTTCAAGGTACTAATATAGCTTTAAGTATATTGTAAGTAACATTATGGATGATTAATAATTATCTGGAATAAATATTTAATAATAATAATAATTAGTATATTTACAGATTTATTTAGTATGTTTGATTACAAACTCGAGCTTATCTCATAAACTGAAGTTTCATGTTATACCAACACATTATAAAATAAATCATTTCTAATGGGAAAAATATTTAAAATTGATAGAACACTGAGATGAAAATATATGGAAAACTGTAAAGATTAATGTTTGTTTTTACTGCGTGACATTGAATAAAAAAAGTTGAGACTGTAACGTTTTTTTTTATTTGAAAATAAATTCGATTTTCGAATCCACTTTTATCACGAAACTTTTAATAAAGTACCATATTAAACTGTAACAACAGTAAATAAGAGGACGTGTTAAAAATCGATCCACAAAACGAAAACGAGCCCACGTGAATAAAAACGTCCGTACGCTTTCAACGCAACAAATTCACGGGAAAAATATTGCCGGCATCAATTTCAATCCAAACACTAATAAATTGGCATCTCTCAACGACATGGTACAAGCTAGACAGTGTATTAATAGACGGGCATATTTTCTCAAATCTCACCCTCGATTCAGTGTCTTGAACGCCGCGGCGCGCGGCACCCGAAAAAAAAGAACCGCGAAAGCGCGCGCGCGAACTTCACCTGTCAAAATAAGCGGGAAACGCCATTTAGGAAATTAGTTTTTTTTCGTGTACCAAACTTTTGTTAAGAGTTCATAAAGAGCTATTAAAACTTTTCGTTATTTCTAAGTAAAGTTATATTAGTTGAAAGAGTTTTAAATGAAATATAAGAAAGGAACTGAAAAAAAAGTTTTCAATAAATTAAATAATTATAAACCAAAATTAAGTACATAAAAAAAATAAATTAAACAAAAATAACAATGAGTTACAGTGCCATTTACGAAAACTACACGAGCCGCTACAAAGAGTTTGAACTGGGAAAGTCGTTGGCGCGCGAAAAAGTTCCGGACGAGTGTTGCCAAGTGAAAAACGAGACTAAAACCTCTGAAATACAGAACGAAGACAATATTGAAGAGGAACATGTTCAGCACGTGTTAGGGCCTAGCAGGAGATGCCTTGCTTGGGCTTGTAAAGCTTGTAAGCGGAAAACGGCGGCTGTTGATCGACGAAAAGCTGCCACGCTGAGGGAACGACGAAGACTGAGAAAAGTAAGCTAACTAGCTAAGCTAGTAAATGTTTATCATATATATGTTATGTATATGTATGTGTGTGCATGTATGACTATGTATATGTGTTATTAAAGTATTTTTGAATTAGAATATTTAGGTTTTATGTAGTTAAAGTTGTATGTACAAACGTGTTTTTTATAGCTAGGTCGGCAAATGACTCTACCCCACCTGATGTTAAGTGGTGATAAAGTCCAAGCGCGAAAACCATTTACTCCAAGCCATATAACACCCCAACCTACAGTTTCTGTATAACTTTTTATACTCACGGTTGTCTGGAAGAAATCGCTCTTAGCAATAAGGCCCGTATTAGAGAATATGACAACTAAGTGTTGATCTTTACTTGAGTACAGTTAGAAAGGGATGTCGCTATGTGCTCTATATAGCGACATCCCTTTCTATCTATGCTCAAGACTAGATTTATTACTGAGAATCTTTCTGTAATACGGGCCTAAGACCGCCAATTATAATGATTTTGTTAAGTTTATTGATTGTTAATGTATTTATGTATTTGGTGTTATAATAAAGTGTTAATCTATCTATCTACCTTTAAGTTTTTTTTTTTTAATTTACTGTCCAACTGAACAGGAAGCACGGCTGATTAGTGTGAGACAGATCAATTTCCCAATAGGTAGTAAAGGTATGGGCTGCACCATCATCTACGACAACAATATTTTCAACGATTTTTCATTTATTAGCAAAACAATATAAATCCCATTACGCAGGTGCAGTTTCAATATTACATTACGTACTAACATTTAAATCAGTTTTCAGGTATGAACAATAATGCTCAACTAGAGTATTTTTTTTATGTATTAGTATTGTTATTTACGAAATAGCTTCTATCCACAGCCTGCCAATAGTTAAAATTTTTATAACACATTTTCTCGTAAAGCGTCTCTTATTGCACCAATTTCAATATCATAATCTATCACATTACGCACGCGTGCGGTAATGTAAAGTAAAACGCACGGCTTATTATGTTCCGTCTAAAAACGAACGATACTTTTTTAAATCTTAGCAAAGAGTTTTTATGTCAAAAAGGTAGCCAACATTTTCTTAATAAAATTAACTTTGGCAAAAAAAATATAATAAATAAACATTTAATTCTTTAATTTGGTTCATTTTTCCAATAGATTATAACCATGTATCGGTAACAAATCCACAAAAATATTAATTCACTTTATTAGTAACACTGGCTGTTTTATGTTCCTTTGCCTAAAAAAGCGCGGATGTGCGCGCATCACTAATTTGTGAAAAAGTTATAATTAAAAGAATGGCCGAAATAAAGAAATTCACGGCTGTAAAAAAAAAAAGTTATAATTATTCCGCGCGCTTTTTCTTTTCGCTGTATTGTTTTTACGTTTAAATATCGTTAAGTAGCGATGAATTTATTAATTTGACATCGCCAGAAGTCTCAGAAGCGGCGAAAAAGGCTACGCTAAGCCTCTTGCCCGAAAAATCGACGGATAGATACCTACTTACAAGCGTATCAAAATTTCATTTCATGGAAAACAAGAAAAAATGCTAATTCATTTTCAGAAAGTGTGTTTTTAGCGTATTTCATGTAACTATCGCAAAAATATAAGTCAAGCTCATTGTGGTGCTATTATTGAATGTTAAAAAGCACAGTAAAGATAAAACATGGTATTCATATAAAGTCGTACTCAAAGTTGCTGGCATTTTTAAAAAGACGCGTAAAAAGTTGAAAGTATTTTCGGCTGACAATGTCACAAAATTCTTAAAAGAAGCTCCGGATTGCCATTATTTGGCATTTGGTCAGTTAAAACTAAATTATTGTTATTAACTTCTTTCACTTGCGTATTTCCTTACAATAAAGACACAGTAATATTATCTATACAGTATTGTGACTCGGCCCTGTCCTTGGAATAACTGCCTACGGCCGAGCGGGGCGTATCCACGCGGTAGGGCTGACCGCCTACAGTGTTTTAATTTCATCTAAATAATTGAGTTTCTTTCTAGTTTTGTGACTGTAAATATTTTATTTCATATGTAAAAAAAAATGCTGTTAATGAATTAGGAAGTGTTACATAAAATATATGTTATTTTAAGTAATATTTAATAAAAAAATATATAGATTTGAGACAGAAAAATATTTACGCGTCGACTGAGACGTACGAAAAGCTTTATTATTAAATTTAATAGTATAATAAATACGCATTCGCATAAGAAATTTAATTATTGAAGAGTTCAAGCAACCAAAAAGAGCACATTATCGACTATTGCTCTTTACCATATTAAATTATGTAGGTATCTACTTAATTCAATCAAATATTCACAATACAAACGTTTAAGCACGGCTAACTGCTTAAAAAACAATTCACACCGTTCGGTCGTCGCGGCGCATTCGCGGCTGGATGCCCACCAAGAGTCGCGCGAACTCGAGTGGCGTAGGTATGACACGCTTTCCAACCGTTTGTATGAAGATAGAATACGCGCGGCGCATTCGCGGCTGGATGCCCACCAAGAGTCGCGCGAACTCGAGTGGCGTAGGTATGACACGCTTTCCAACCGTTTGTATGAAGATAGAATACGCGCGGCGCATTCGCGGCTGGATGCCCACCAAGAGTCGCGCGAACTCGAGTGGCGTAGGTATGACACGCTTTCCAACCGTTTGTATGAAGATAGAATACGCGCGGCGCATTCGCGGCTGGATGCCCACCAAGAGTCGCGCGAACTCGAGTGGCGTAGGTATGACACGCTTTCCAACCGTTTGTATGAAGATAGAATACGCGCGGCGCATTCGCGGCTGGATGCCCACCAAGAGTCGCGCGAACTCGAGTGGCGTAGGTATGACACGCTTTCCAACCGTTTGTATGAAGATAGAATACGCGCGGCGCATTCGCGGCTGGATGCCCACCAAGAGTCGCGCGAACTCGAGTGGCGTAGGTATGACACGCTTTCCAACCGTTTGTATGAAGATAGAATACTGAATACGTCCACTCTACAACATTCTTATCGTATAAAATTACCGTGATTAAGGTGTATTGTACGCTGTTTTTATCTCTTTTCAGGTTGTATTAATATTCGGTATAAATGGTGCATGTAGACGTCAAGCATTGGCAAACATCTCAACTAATGATCATCGACTGTTCAAGCATGTTTCATTTAATGAGTGCAGTCTCTTGTACTGAAAAAAAAGGAATAGGGATGATGACTAATTTTTTATTCTTCGTTTATCAGGTAGATTATCAAAAAGTATTGGACACGTATTTTTTCTTTTTTCACATAATATAAACATTGCAGAGATATATTGATTTGAAAAGTCGCATGACGTCACGTTTGAGTACACACAAGTGAAAATTCACTCAAAAGTGACGTCACGTTTGAGTACACTTTTAAGTGAAAATTCACTAAAAAGTGACTTCAAGAGCCCCTACTCCCAAACTTTGACGCGCTATAACTTTGTCATTTTTTGGTGCATTGCCCAAAGAAAAAATACATGTCCATTATTTTTTGATCATCTAACTTACGGACTAAATAGAATTTCGTTTACTGTACCCCGTCATCACCCCTATTGCCATTAAGATACGATAACTTTTTATTATAACACCGTTGAATGTACAATGAAGAATGTTGTAGAGTGGACGATCTCGGTGGCCGAGTGGTTTGTACGCCGGGTTTCATGGTGTCGCCGACTCGAGAGGTCCCGCGTTCGAATCTCGGTGGGGGCAGATGTTTGTGTGATGAATACGAGCATTTGTACTCCAGTCATGGAGGTTTAAATTGTATTTCTATTTAAATACACTTATATATATACTGCATAATGTATTCTGTCCGTTACAATGCTTACTTTGGGGCTAGGTGTTAAATATATTTATTTATTTATTAATATACAATAACATTTAAATTAAAAGAAGAGTGTTTCAGCTGGCGGTCTTATCGCTAAAAGCGATTTCCTTCAGACAACCATGCAAAATATGACAGACCCTGAAATATTAGACTGGTACATTTTACCTACTTAATAGTTAATTTAACTTAAGTAACTGCCATTGTGCCACGCTTATTTCTTTTTTAAGACAAAAAGCTTACGCTTAGATAGATTGATAACTCGTTTCTTCTTGAAAGGCACACATTTACAAATATTAAAATATATGTCAATCTAACAATAAAAATCAAAGGTACCTTATAAAGTGTGCCGCAACGAAACAAAATGGCTACAACAGCTCAGTGATGATTTTGCTCAGTTAGCAAAACAATTTTTAGCTGTAACCAAGCACAGATTATGCTTGAACCAGCGTTGCCATTGATACGGCAATTACCGTAATATACGGCAATTTGAGCTCATAATTTCAAATTATACGGCATACGGAAGGTTTGTCATTGCCGTATAATAACACTAACTACCTATAAATTTTAAATAAATAAAATTAGGTAATACGGCAAAATCATGATTTTTATTTAAAAACTAGCTGACCCAGCGAACTTCGTACCGCCATAAAAAAATAGGGGTTGGTGGTAGAAAGTTGAAAATTTAGGGATGTATGTATTTTTGTATGATGTATCATAAAAAAATTAAAAAAAAAATATATATCTAAAATTGAAAAAAAAAATTAGGGGTGGATTACCCTTAATATTTAGGGGGATGAAAAATAGATTACATCCGATTCTCAGACCTTCTGAATATGCATATAAAATTTCACGAGGGCAGGTGCCCAGGGCCCCACGATCGATAGGGGCCCCCTCAAATCAAATACAAAGTCCCTAGTTCCTGTTAAATCACCAAACGGTGGTTATAGGAGCCCCATTATCCTAATATGCCCAGGGCCTCCAATATGTCAAAGACGGCACTGAATACGGCAATCTGATGTATCGAATACGGCAACTCTTTCAAACTTGATGGCAACACTGGCTTGTACCTATTTTTTTCTCGTGTTATTCTTGAGCTTGGGAGGGGCTTGAGCTCAATTATAACCTCCTGGATCCGTCATTGCGTAAAACTAAAATATAAAAACACTAAT